TTCCCTTTGCTTTTTAATATAACAAATAAATTTACATCAAAGCAATTATTCTATGGTCACTGATGCGATTTCATTATAATTTTGAGCTGAGCAGCCAAATGATAATGAAATTCAGAAACCTGCCCAAAACTCACAAATTACTCAGTTATCTCCAAGAATCATTCTGATTTTTTTCAACTCCATAACCAATTTCATCTTAAGGATTATTTTATTAAGAAAGGCAAATACTTAACTCACATGAGATGATGGGAGATGTTACTAATAGAACATTACTTCTGTATTCTTACCCCCCCTTTTTTTTTTACAATGCAAGGTACAGAATATCCTGTAGGTTTTTTGGGGGGGTTGTTGTTTAATCTTTTTTAAAAAAAAATTAAATAAATCATAAGCCAGTGTGAACTGAACTGAAGTTTCGAAACATGAGAAAACAAAACTGATAAATTTCTCAATCCCTAGTTGTTCCAAAGTTGTCACTGAACTTTTGCCTCAAGTAGAAGGTCCAAAGTGAATGCTGGAGGTCCGCCACCAATTAAACCTCTCAGGCAGAATTGAAACATATGCCTGGCTGAGTTAAAAAAAAAATCATGTGTGGCCTTCCATTCTTAAACATGACCTTTTGCCCCCACAGCTGCAGCAGGAGACCACCAGCCTCAACTATAGACCCCTCGTATGCCAACTGTGAAACTGCAGCCGGGCTGAAGCACTGGGCCCAAGGTTTACCCTCTGATTTCACAAGTGGCATTTGGGCAGTGGAGGGGAGGCAGCAGCAAAAAGGCAATGCAAATAACTGGATGGGTAGGCAAAACTAAAAAATTCAGAGGACAGAGGTTACCATTATGAGAAAGGGAGACAGAAAGCATGCTTACTTTTTTTAAGGAACTCAAAACAAAAACAGAACACTTTTGCTGCTGCTTCAAGCAGTTGTACAGCTGCAAACAGCAGCCCAGTAGCCAGTCAGTATCCTTCTGCAAGATGGAAACAGCACTTAATGCTAAGTGTTAAGATTCTGTCACAAACACCTGTGAAAGAGGCTGAAAAGACTCTTTCAAGAGGGTTAGGCCCTGTGCTTATTTAAAACAAGACTTCAGTTTTTTTAAATATTCCTGTCATCATTGCTGAAAGACTCTGCCCACTGATTCCAATTGACACTGTAGCCTTATTAGACTTTACCGATTGGTAGGGTGAGCGTTGCTCCCAGAACAGGGAGGAAGGGTGACACCGAGGTTTGGTTCAGAGAAAGAGTTTATTCTGCTCTCCGGACAGCAGAAGGCACTGCATGAATCGGTTCACAGCAAGCACAAAAGCAAGAGAAACTGCATACAGTATATATATATATATATATATATATCCTCCAGGCACCCTCTCCCCCCTTCCCCAGGAATCCAGACACGTAAGCTTATACATGTAAGTTGACATCACAGATGTTCCTGCTCCTGTACTCTTAACCATAAAAGGGTGTTCCTGTTCCTGTGCTCTTGACCATAAAAGTGTGTTCCTATTCCTGTAGTCATTATCTTATCTAATATTCCTGTCATCATTGCTGAAAGACTCTGCCCACTGATTCCAATGACATAAGTCCAAGACATCAGCAAAGGCTTTAAAGATACCCCTTCCCTTCTTCCCCTGCTCCAGATTCAATAGCAACATGGGACTGTAGCCAAGACATCCCCCCTAATGCATAACAATATCTTCATCATTCTGCACATTGCAAATATAGGGGTTAAAATGCCTCTGGGAGCTGGAGCCAAACTGCATGGGACCTAGAAATGGATTAGAGTTCCAGACTTTTTTTTCAAGGCATAAAAGCAGCCATGAATTGTGTGTGTGCAAATTAGATTGTAGGCTTCCAGCCTCATATAACTTTAGTATGTTTAAATCTAATTAGTGCATGAAGGGGTTAAAACCATAGAGTAAGCTGTCCTGCCAAGCTTAGCCTATGTTGTCACTTCCTTACTTGAGAGGAAATGGGCCACCAAGCCTCTGCATACAGACTTTTGTATGTGAGGAGTTCTGAGCATGAGTAACCAGCCTCTTTTGTTTCAGACCGCAATGAAGTCTGAAACTAGCTTTTTTCTCTATCAGTTGTTTAGAAACTTTTATGTTTAGTAGCCAAGAAATGTCTATGACTTACCAAATGTGTGGTCTATCTCTGTGCTAGGGAAGTGGACATTTTGGAACTCATTTGAAGAGCACATTTTAAAGGTTTTACAGCCTATATGTCCATGTTTTTCTTGGCTGCATGTTTTATGGTGTTAAATCTCTGCTGGGGCTTTCTCACCAAAGAGCACTTGCCCCAAACTCAAGCCTTAGTTCCAGGATTCAACAGAAGCAGCAGGAAAGAAGGAGGGAGGCTTAACCCACCAATAGCATGTCTCCGATTTAAATTCACACGTGCACCAAAGCTGCTGTCAGATTCAGAAAGGAAGAAAGTCAGGCAATATGGTAGTTATTATGTGTGTGAATTTAAATCGGGGGAGCCAGTGTGGTGTAATGGTTATAGTGTTAGACTAGGACCTGGGAGAGCAGGGTTCAAATTCCTAGTCAGCCAAAGCTCACTGGGTGACCATGGGCCAGTCACCATCTCTTAGCCGAACTCACCTCACAGGGTTGTTGTGGAGAAGAGAACGACAGTTCACCACCCTGAGATCCTTGGAAGATAAATGAGGGAAAGGAATGTAATAAATAAATAAACCCTCCCCCAGCACTGTATCCCCGAAGCAATCCAAGACCATTGTGGTAGCTTTTAAGTCCTTAAAATGCCAAATTACAGAGCCCCTGTGCACATCTGGTTTTGTCCCTTAGGTTGGGACAATGAGACTGTGATGTATGAATATGTGAAAATGCCTTATACCGATTTGAATAATTGATCTATCTAGCACAATACAATGGTACCTCAGGTTAAGTACTTAATTCATTCCGGAGGTCCGTACTTAACCTGAAACTGTTCTTAACCTGAAGCACCACTTTAGCTAATGGGGCCTCCAGCTGCCGCCGCGCCGCAGGAGCAGGATTTCTGTTCTCATCGTGAAGCAAAGTTCTTAACCTAAAGCACTATTTCTGGGTTAACGGAGTCTGTAACCTGAAGCGTATGTAACCTGAAGCGTATGTAACCTGAAGTACCACTGTACTGTTTATTTGTGGAGTATTTTAACTGGAGGTGCTGGAGGTTGAACCTGGTATATTACAGATGCAACACATGTGCTCCCAATGACTCGTTTTCTTCCATTATCAGAGCATGCTAGGAGCCAGATGTGACATTACTGGGCCTTAGGCTTTATGTTACTTATTTCCAAATTTATAATGTAGGGTATTTGGAGTTCCCAAAATGCTTCCATGGAAAAAGGAGAGGAGAGAAAAACATCTGCAATGCTTTTTGATAAATGCATTGATAAGAAGAGCCAAGCCAGCACAATACATGATGCTAATTGACTCTGGACAAGATTGATCAAGTTCTGTCAAAAGCTGAGAATACTGTTGCCGAAGTCAGGTTGACCTTTAGATGTACCTGATGACAAATGCAATTCTAATTCATTTGCCTAGAACATCACTCTGCTAGAGGACATTTTCTTCAAAAACTACTTCGTAGTAAATAACTGAAACACATGTTATATTTCATTGCCAAATAGCATTAGTGATATATCTCTGCTTTAAACAAATGATTTATATTCATATTGTTATGAATTTTTTTTTGGGGGGGGGGAGGAAGTAGCCTGTAGGCAATATCCTTCTATCCTTTTGGTCCACCAAGTGTTAAAATATAACCCAGGCTAGCTTCCTGTGTTGAGGTGATAGCCTGGGTGATGGGCCATTAGGGAAGCAGAGGAAAGGGACTCTGTGTGAGACTGCAAATGGGTGGAGCCCCTCCCTCAGTTCAGCAGATAGTTAGCACTCAGCATAGGCACCAGCTCCTCAAGGCTGAGACACTTTGCTCCCCCATTATGGTTTTTTTTTAAGGGAGCCAGGCCCCCTCAATGTTCAGAGGGCATTTGATTCTGCTCCCTGGCTCCTCGCGATGTCACGTGCGTGATGTTAGGACGTTGTGTTGAGCCCCCTTGATCATCTTGAGAAGCTGGTGCCTCTGAAGCTCAGAGATAGAAGGACAAAGCCTGAGTTTAGAGTTGAAAGTGTCAGTGATGTGATGTAGAAGTAAAAAAACAAGCTGGGGAGAGAGTCAGAGCACCGTTTGGGAGCAATGATAGATTTCTGTTTGAATCCAAGTCTGCGGCTATGGGAGAAACAAGACCCTTCAGGGGTGTTGATGCTGTGAACCCCTCAATCATAGGTTCAGGTTTTATATGTGTGTAAATAAACCATATATAATAAAGACACCATGGTTTCCATTGTGCCTCATTCCAAAAGGAAACATGAACCCTGGGTAAGCACCCGGAACCCCAGGAATCTTGTGCCACTCAGAGATTGGGATGGCGTACAACGATATCATATTATATTACACACACACACACACACACACACATTATTTCATTGTCCCCACTGGTATCACTAGTATGGGACAAGCTATTACAACAACAGATCCATTGTGAGGAGAAAGCACTAGAATTTTATGAGGGTCTGTCACCTCTCATTTATACATACATAAGATAATAATAATAATAATAATAATAATAATAATAATAATAATTTATTATTTATACCCCACCCATCTGGCTGGGCTTCCCCAGCCACTCTGGGCGGCTTCCAAAAGAATATTAAAATACTGTGATACATCAAACATTAAAAGCTTCCCTAAACAGGGCTGCCTTCAGATGTCTTCTAAAAGTCTGGTAGTTGTTGTTCTCTTTGACATCTGGTGGGAGGGCGTTCCACAGGGAGGCGCCACTACCAAGAAGGCCCTCTGCCTGGTTCCCCGTAACTTGGCTTCTCGCAGTGAGGGAACCGCCAGAAGGCCCTTGGCACTGGACCTCAGTGTCTGGGTAGAACGATGGGGGTGGAGACGCACCTTCAGGTATACTGGACCGAGGCCATTTAGGGCTTTAAAGGTCAGCACCAACACTTTGAATTGTGCTCGGAAACGTACTGGGAGCCAATGTAGGTCTTTCAAGACCGGTGTTATATGGTCTCGGCGGCTGTTCCCAGTCACCAGTCTGGCTGCTGCGTTCTGGATTAGTTGTAGTTTCCGGGTCACCTTCAAAGGTAGCCCCACCAGAATCTAAACGTAGAGATTAACTTTTGGCAGCCAGCCCCCAGACAGACAGTGCTAGTTAGCAAAGCATCCTTAGTATATTATTGGAGTGTGTGTATACACACAAACACACACACACATACATATATCACCTTTCTGTCAGCCGGTTAAAAGCCACAGATTTCTTTCTTCTTTCTTCTTCAGCCCTAGTTGAGGTGTCTACCAACTAGTAGGTGCCACCCATCAAAGCCCACCAATGCTCACTGGGTGAGTGTCATCAGCTAGCAAAACCTTTAACATTTGCTATCCTGTGTAGCATCACTGTTTCCCCAGGCAGCTGTTCCTTCCCTCCTACTTTCCCCATTCCAGTGACTGTATAAGCAACCCTAGCCAACTTCAGGCCATTTGGTAAGCAGGATGATGTCACAAAGCTACATAGCTAATAAGATTTGACTATGTAATAGTATTAATTCTGGTAAGGGAAGTCAGTTATGAGTGAAAGCAAGAGAGGATCAAGCAATTCTGCAATTTCATAATTTCAACACTGCCAATGATGTTCGCCTAACAACCACAACCCTCTGAATAGTTTCAGCTCAACCACATCTTCCCATTGGACAGCTCTTCCTACGATAAATATGCACAATTTATACATTTGTTGCTTTTGCCAGACAAATTGTATGCATCCCAAACCCTTCTCTTTTCATTATTATTCATTTTACTCTGTGGCATAACATGATCCCTCACAAAATATAGTATACTCTAATTAAGTTCAAACAGAAATAGTAAACATGTTATGTGGTTTTCCCCCCTCAGATACAAGTCCCCCCCCCCCATTTCCACAGATGTGGAATCTATCAAATTATTTGTGGCAAACAAACACTGGATTTAGTTGACAACTACAAACAGAAAGCTCAGACTACAAAGGATATGTGTCTTGCAGCAGAACAGAGCACTCACCTGTCAGTAGCAAAGTCTGCAGGATGGTACCACACAGTCTTGTCATCCTCGCCATCAAAGGTAAACTATTAATATGTAACAGGCAATAACAAAGCAGCTTCAGATCAAATTAATTATTCACTCAATGCAACACACTCTACAACTCTATTTTTTAAACTAGTAAATCTGCAAAGGGAATACATTTTCTCGATACCAGATTAAAACATTTATGGATGTTAAAAAAGAAATAAAGATAGCTCTTTAGCAATTTTTTTAAAAAAACTGAAAAAACAGCAGTCTTTAATGTTTACTTCCAACCAATTCATAGCACTAAACCTTTTAGTTAGGTAATTTTAGATTCTGGACTTAATAGTCTCCAGACAAACACCCCCTTTCTTTAGATGGCCATGTGTGTTGATTCACTTACTTCTATTAATTCCTTTAATAGTGTGTGTGTGTGTGTGTGTGTGTGTGTGTGTGTGTTGAAACACTGCTTAATACAAAGTGTTTGTTTTCTTTGTGGTAGTAATCCAGGAAAGTGCTTCTATGTTTAATGATTTTTGCCTGAAGCAAAACTCTATGTATATTGAGAAAGTTTTGCTAAAATGAAACATTTGTAGGGATTTTGAGGGAGGACAGATGTCACTGAAGAAAATTAGCAACATTTACCCAGGGAAGGTCACATACTCTTACGCTATCCAGTCACGTTACTTAATGCTATTGGAAGTAAATTTGGAGGCGTCTGTGCTAGCAGAATATGTGTAGAACATTCCCTGGGAAATTAAGGGAAATCCAGCAACACAGGCGGAATTTCTCAGGGGGTGGGGAGCTGCACACACCCCTACAAACATCAAACCAACATTACTTGTGATTGCATTCTATAGGTATGGCATTGTTGCAATTGGTATGTGGAGATGATTTGAAAACCGCTTGCACAGTGAGTGTTCCATCTATTAGGCCTGACATACAGCCCAGGTATGGTGGGGTTCCATGTCCCTAGACGGGAGGGAAGAAACTCTCCTTTCAATGAAAGTAATATGCTGAGCTGCTCTTTAAGCTACAGCTGTGTGGAACAGCCTAGTGCTGTTGCTCATAATTATAATTACAGGACACTATCCTAAATGTCTGAATTACGGAATACTCTACTCATTTCCAGGGTAGGAAGCACCAGCTTTTGTTTCTTCTGTTCCTTTCTTATATTTCTTATATTGCTTCAGACCCATTCTTTTTCCTCACTTTCTTTTCTGTACACTCCTACCTTGATATACAAGATGCATTGTGCAACTTTTATGACCCCATGGACTTACACTGCTGAATTGGCTTTTAATAATAATAAGTCTGTTTCAGCTCTCTCTATATCCTTTTATGGCTGTTTATGCTGTTGTGTGTGGTGGACTGAAAACACTAATATGATCTATGCCATTGAAGATTTCATATATACCAAGGGTTAGTTCTCACTGAAGTGATAGAACTGTGTATTAGACTGTAAAACTTCAGACTGAAGGTAAAGAATATTCTAAACAAACAAACCAGCTACACACAAGCCTTCTTCAGGCATTATCACCAAAGAAGGAACACAGGAAGACTGGGGTGTGGGAAGGGGGTCCCATTTTGCCCCACCCTGCAGCCCAGTGGCTCCGTATACGATTACTGTGAACTTCTGCCTGGACCTTTCTCACTACAGAGATTCACTGTAATCATGGAAAGAGCAGGTCCCCCATCCCTGGGGGAGCAACATGTATATCACTGAAGTCCCACTCTACTCATGTTTCTTCTTCTTCTAATAGTGCCTAAAGAAGGCTAAAAACAAACAAACAAGGGTTCTCAATTGACCTGGCATGCTAGGGTTATGTTTTTATTTTTTAATGTGCAGTGAATTTATTCGGAATAGAGGAGCCGAAACTACAGACTGCAATGGTACAGGCCCAACACGTCTTTACTATCTTGGTGAGAACTAGACTCAGCTTAAAACTATTCAAGGTGTTTGTCTTCTGAAATGTCCTAAGGCTTTTTAGAACAATCTACAATCTATACGGGAAACAATGCAAAGGAAGATATGTGTTTGCTAGGTTGCGCTCTGATTCTCATATGCATGTCCATCGCATAATTCATCATTGTTTAAAGCACAAGTGCAAGTAGATAAATAGGTACCGCTCTGGCAGGAAGGTAAACGGCGTTTCCGTGCGCTGCTCTGGTTTCCCAGAAGCGGCTTAGTCCTGCTGGCCACATGACCCGGAAACTGTCTGCGGACGAATGCTGGCTCCCTCGGCCTATAGAGCGAGATGAGCACGCAACCCCAGAGTCATCCAAGACTGGGCCTAACGGTCAGGGGTCCCTTTACCTTTTTAAATATGCAACATTTGATGGCTTGCAGCTGAATGGGTAAACTGCCTCAAGACATTTTGGGGCCTGAAGTCAAGGGAAGGATGGAATTTGAATCATACCTCATTGCCGGTGATAGGACAGCATTGTGCTGCACCTGAAAGTAGCAGCGTCCCTGCCCGCAGGCTCATAAATTGAAAGGACACAAGGAGAAGGGGATTCAGAAGGGAGAGGAAAACAAGCAACTCAATTCTAAATGTTACAAGGCTCTTATAATGACCACCTGGGATGGAGATTGACTACTCACTGTTGAAAAAACAGGCCTTGTTGTTCCTCTAAGAAAAAAACACTTGGTGATCAGAACTTCCTGAAAGTGGTGGTAATATAGTTGGAATGTGTGGTCTTCTCTGACCACCTGACCACCTGAAAGTGAAGGTGGCCTCCCACGCTCCCAGTAAGGCAAATAAATGCTACCTTATCCAAGGGCTTTCTACATGCTAAATCACGGGCCTCATCACAATGATGGCACCATGCCCACACATACCGTATTTTTCACTCTATAAGACGCACTTTTTCTCTCCTAAAAAGAAAGGGGAAATGTGTGTGCATCTTATGGAGCGAATGCAGGCGGGAGGCTCTGCTCAGCGCTCCCTTTAAAGAGCCGCACGGAGCGTGTGTGCGGCTCTTGGGGGCTTTTCCCCGAGGAGGGAGAAGGGACTGACAGGCTGCCCTTCTCCCTCCTCGGCTCCCTCCACAGGCTCGGCTCTTGCTCGCTTTTCCAGGAAGTGGGAAAGAGATGAAGGGCAGCCTGTTGCTTTCGCTGAAGCCAGAACAGCAAGAGGGATAGCCACACGAAGCCTCTTTAGCGCAGCGGGAGCGTTCCTCCCACTGTGCTGAAGAGGCTTTGCGTTGCGTTGGCCTCTTCAACAACATTTGATTCAGAATATTTTTTTTCTTGTTTTCCTCCTCTAAAAACTGGGTGCGTCTTATGGTCGGGTGCGTCTTATAGAGCGAAAAATGTATACTAGTAGACACCACCCTTTTGCATATGCAAACTGTATTACAATAGCTACTAGAGACATAAAATATAATTATGCTAACAATCACAGTGAATGCTTTTTTAAAAAATTCTCAGCGCGTATACTTCTGTCCCAAATCATATCCCACAAATATAGTTTCCTTTACTGCTTCTTGCTACTATAAAAATAGCTGCTAGCTTGTTGAAATATATAAATATTTGGATGACCTGCGAAGGGCACGCTTATATGTATTGCCCTAGAGGCATTCATCTTGTATTTCACACAAGTACTGCCTTTTTAAACATCCCTTATCATTTTCTACTGCTAACAAATGAGGTTCACTGACACAAAGTTGGCAAGGAAGGAGTGAGGATAGAAATGTCCATGATTCGGTGGTAGGGGTGATTTCAAAGATCTATTTCTTCTGTCAGTACACACCACCAATTGCAGTAATTGATGTTTCAGCCATTACACCACCGGCTTTCACAGACAATGTAGATAATTAACCAGGCTCCACTTTTGGATGATTATTTCTATCCTCCGAGGAACTTGACGGTATAATGGACAAAATGTCAAGAATAATTAGGAATAATGATAGTGGCAGATATGCTGCCAGACCTAAAATAGGGTTTTGCCTTGTCTTGGGGCAGTGGGGAGCACGGCTCAGGGACATGAGAATTCAATTCTGTGGTTTATATGTTCCTTGGGAGATTGTTAACATTTTTCAGAAAATACAAAGTGGAAATGAGAGTGCTCTTAACACATCTCAAAATATGTTTGAATGAAATTAGTCAAACAGCTTATGCATGTCTTTAAATTACTAAAAATGTCCTGTGTTTTTTGTGGGTGTGTTTTACAAACTTCAGGACAAGCTACCTTATTAATATATTATTTATGCAGCACACATGCACATAGGTCATCAGTATGCAACCCTTTGCATCAAAGTTTAAACCTTCCTTCTGTTCTGAATCCAAGAAAATATTATTTTGCTTTTATGGAATGCAATATAATCTGTTTATTCAGCCACCATGCAAAAGTGACTGTGTTCCATAGTTTAAATATCACTTGTATTCTGCAGGTTGAAGGACAAGGGAAGAACAGTAAAGATTCTTGGCCCTCTTCTGATACTCCTGGTCCACTCACCCTTACTGGACCTCTGTATTTGGGAGGTACCACTGCCCTATCATTGCTGTGTCTTGAAAGATGCATCACAACAGTTGCACAACAACTGTGCAACTTACCCCTTCACTGGTGAGCCATTACATTCTCTGACGTGCCATAACAAATTATTGTTTCTCTGTTTGTATATGTTTTGAGACTGGCTTTGTATGTCACCTTGTGAGGACACCTATCCTGAAAAGTGGGATATAAATACTTTAATAAATTAAATACAAAACAAATAGCTGTCAGGCCTCATATGGTAGCTGAACCATGCTAGAATGCTCTATCTGCAGTCTGTCCAGAGGATCAAATCAAAGCAGTATAAGCCATGCTCTGGGCACCTGTGTGTGTAGGGTGATTTTGGCCAGTGGCAGGGGCCCAAAAGAGCAGTCAGGAAGGTCCGAAAGAGCAGTCAGGAAGGTCCATGACCTCTCTCAAGGTCTCGCAGGATCTCACAAGGGGAATGAAGGGTGAGATCTTAAAGGGCCCTTTTGCCCACCCTTGGTGTTACGTTACAGCCACACTGGGCTATTTGAGTTGCTGGTTGACAGAGCCAAAAAGGATTTTGTTCTCCCAAGCTTAACTGGCCCCTTGGCTAGGGTTTTTTCACCTTTCCCTTAGGGACCTAAGGCCTACGTTTGTAAGGAGACGCTTGGGCTCATGTATACTAGTGGAAATGGCATTGGGAAGGATCAGCATAATAAAGGTGCCGGGGGGGGGGGCGAGGAGAGAGAGAGAAAGAGAGAGAGAGAGATTGGCCATAGCATGCCCTAAGGTCAGTTTGGGGCACATGCAAAGCTGAAATTTCTCACTCCTGTCACGTTTGAGGCCAAGGCTCAGCACTAGGTGACTCCCATGGTGGCTGGTGGGTTTTTCTCTACTCTGAAGGAGAACTAAGGATGGTTGGAATGTGGAGTGAGATCCCTGCCATACTGCCATGCCAACCACACTTTCTACTGCAGTCGATAAAGATTTGGCCAATCCTGTATCTTGCCTAGTTATTTCAATGCTGTCACAGAGTCCCAAATTGTACCTGCCAGGGCAATCTATTAGCTACCCCAACCCTCAAAAATATATCCTCAGATGTTTTGCTGAGCAGCAACCTCTCAAGAGGGATTACAGTATTCAGTACGTTTAACTATTGTAGCCTTAATAATTATTTATACCAGTGTACTAAGGTCAGTAGCTAGGCTGAGAGGTCTCCCCTGGTTCATTTTAAAACAACAACAACAACAGCAGCAGCAGCAACATATTGTATTGGCCATCTTACAATCTGCTTGCAGGGAGGACGATTTTAGAGGCAAATGATATATGTGTGTTAAAAAGTCAACTATTCTATGTTCAAGGATTCTTATGTTACTCTGGTGTTACTCCATTGACAAGGCTCTCTTTCATTTGCTTGTTCTAAAAGTTCCTAATTTTGCTGCTATTGACATAGCTCTTTCAAATGCTCACCCAGAAACGAAGAGGAGGACTCTTTTCCCAGTTTTGAAGCAATCAAGGTTCCATACTTTTTTTCATCAGTTGTTGCCCCTGAACCCAAGTACTTTGCAGCTGCATCAGGTGAATATAGATTTAGGCTTTATGGGCACAGCACAAGTTTGTGAAGCTGATGTTGCAGAGGTAAGAGGCTTTCACAATACTTCTATTTTCTTTTCTCATTTGAATAATCTCACTCATTGTTTTGAGAGCTTTTCTTTTTAAAAGACCCATAATCTCATTTAGTGATTAATAACTATCTCCTTGTCTTTAAAAAGAGTATCAGCAGCTACCCAGATGTTCCTGTTGGCTGTCTTAATGATTCACACAGTGCATTGCAGGCTAATGCTTCTAACTTGATTTCTGTTAACATCTTGAGGGCTGGCAGCCTTTTGTCATATCTTAAACAAGAAGGAAACCTATGAACTGCTAGAGGGTTGGCATCCTTTTCTTGTGTTCTATCAGAAAAAAGTCTGTATGGTAGTATTCTTCCTACTGAGAAACACAAAACATCAAACATGTTGTCTCACAACTGCTGAGGATAATAGGGAAATGGGTGGTTCAGTAATCTCTAAAGAAAGATACCAGTTCAATATTTGATAGAATTTTCTTTTATTTCTGACCATGTCACATCTTCCTACCTCTCTAATTAATGCATTTTACCTTCCTCAGATCACCCCTCTGATCTCTCACCTTGCTATTTCTTCTTCTTCGCAAGGGACAAGGTATTGTACTTGAACACACACTGGAGTGCTAGCCCTGGAATCCATTCATTGCTGTGAACTTTCCTTTCCTGCACAATTTATCAAGCCCCAAAGTGGGCCTAGTGGTAAATACACAGCAGCCAGCTGCAACAGCAACCTTACTAGGTCACTTTTTCTTCTCATGACATCACTGAGCTCCCAATTTCTCTATCCTTCAAGTGACAGACAGTGAAGTTGAGCAAGAACGGAGGAATCACACTTAAATGTTGTTTGAGACAGTATGGGGCTGTTGTTTCAATACTGGTCTAAGGGGCTTACTCACATAAGTGCATCACTTTATTTTATAATTGCTTAAGGCGGTTGCCAACAACAAACACATGCATGCACAATGCTTGGTTTTATGATGACTAATTTTTTCAACATGGGATGGCTCACAGCAGAATACGTGGGCCAGCCTATTCGAAATGTGCCCTTTCTGAGAGGATACAAAAACTCAAAGTAGTGTTTTATTAGATGCAGAGGGGCAGAACACCTACAGCTCATCAAAATAGCTGCTACTTTACCATCAGGAAGCCCCAGTGGTCAGCCTGCAACTCCTTTTGCCCCTCACAGCCACACGTGGACCCAGATAACCAAAATTCAGCCAGTGATTCTGGTACTTGCATAGATAGGCCACTTCCTTACAATTCTTTTCTTATATCAGGTGTGATTTTGCCATGCCAAAGCTTTTCAAAGTCACAGTGGCTGATTTTCAATGGTACAATACCTTTCAGGATTCATTCTTGCCATGCTCACTGGTGAGAAACACTTGTGCAAAGAACATAAATGCACATCCAAAACAATCAAGACATGACACCTGAAGAGCATTACAATAATCTTCCAGTATAGTTTCATAGTATACAGAGGTCCCATTAAAATTGCTTTATATCATCAGTAGTTCTTATTACCAGTGGCATAAACATCCACACCTTTTTAATTGTTACTTCTAATTCCTGGGAATGGTCTTGGCAACAAACCATCTAATTATGACCTTTTAAAAAGTATAGTTGAATGGCTATATTGATTAAGTGGGTGGCTTCTGAGTTAATATAACTAGAGGCTGACCTGGCTGAAACTCTGGTTGCTACAACTGCCAACAAAAATGATGCCTGTGGTGTGAGACCTGCTCCTCTATCAGGCTTAATTAGTCAAAGGCCCAAGAACAGTGGATTAAGCATGCAGTTGGTTGTTGCGCTTGACATAAAACCCTTGGGATGCATGATGCAATACCTTCCATATTGAGAGAGGCATAGAAATTACCGTATTTTTTGCTCTATAAGACTCACTTTTTCCCTCCTAAAAAGTAAGGGGAAGTGTGTGTGCATCTTATGGAGTGAATGCAGGCTGCGCAGCTATCCCAGAAGCCAGAACAGCAAGAGGGATTGCTGCTTTCACTGTGCAGCGATCCCTCTTGCTGTTCTGGCTTCTGAGATTCAGAATAAATTTTTTCTTGTTTTCCTCCTCCAAAAACTAGGTGCGTCTTGTGGTCTGGTGTGTCTTATAGAGCGAAAAATACGGTATGTCTCTTTTTTTTAAAAAAAGGTGACCTGGAACATGTGCTTCAGTGGTTTCAGCTCATGAGTTTAGAATAGGAACCATGGGATGATTGGGAACCTTTAGGTTATCAATAGAAGACATGCTTCCCACCATTAAGATCCTAGATATTCAGGCTGTAGCATATCCAGCTCGAGATTTTAGGTGACAAGGCTTGTGAGGTTTTCGATATCTACAACCACTCAGAGGAGACAATAATGGGCTAAATGAACCAGTGCCATAATGACCCTGTTCACATGAAAATCATGCTTCACCTATGGGCCTTGGCCTGCTGTCTTCACTGTGAAACTGCATGCATTCAGGAAATAGCTTGAAATGTGAACTAAGCTTGTTCAATGTGAACAAGGGTCTCCCCTTGGTACCCTAGACAAACAGGATAAAGCCATAGGACTACTAAGTTGGATGTAGAATCATGGAATAATTTAATTGTAAAGTTGGAAGGCAACATGAGGGTCATTTAGTTCAAGCCCTTTCAATGTAGGAATGTTTTGCCCAACATGGGGCTCAAACTCACAACCTTGAGATTAAGAGTTTCATGCTTTTCCAACTGAGCTATGATGCATATCAGGTTTTCTTCATGCCATTTGCTCAACACATGGAGCAAACATGATCCCACTCACCCAGTCCAGTGTCCACAAATTCCAATGAATGTGTGAAGAGTCAGGTGTAAGCATTACTGGGGGCACCTGCCAAGGTCCACACACCAGCAGGGGTCTGGGAGAAGGAGCAAGCGATGCAGCCACCTGTCCACTCACCTGACATTTTCCTCTCGGCAGCAGTAGGGAGAGAGTTCAGAAGCAAGTTGAGAGTGAATGGTGGGGGAGAGGAGGGGGACCCTGAGGATACCCTGCTCAAAAACCTGCCATCCCTCACTATACCTCAGGCAGGTACTGTTGAAGACAACTAGTTTTAAAGCTGCTTCACATGTTCATTTACTGCAGGGGTAGGCAACCTAAGGCCCGTGGGCCAGATGCAGCCCAACCGCCTTCTCAATCCGGCCCACGGACAGTCCAGGAATCAGCGTGTTTTTACAGGAGTAGAATGTGTGCTTTTATTTAAAATGCACCTCTGGGTTATTGTGGGGCATAGGAATTCATTCATTTCCCCCCCAAAAAATATAGTCTGGCCCACCACATGGTCTGAGGGACGGTGGACCAGCCCACGGCTGAAAAAGGTTGCTGACCCCTGATTTACTGCAGCTGTTATATTAGAGACCACCCTCCAGACCATGTGAGCAAAAGCCACACACAGGAACAGATGAAACTGCCTTATAGCAATTTAGACCTCTCCCCACCACCACCAATACTGTCTTTTCTGACTAGTAGTGATCCTTCTGTGCCTCAGAGGAAGATCTGGAGGAAGATCTCAGAAGATCACTGGAGCTGCCAGAGAATGAAGCTGGGACCGGCATGGGCTTTGCCATTGAGACCATCCCTCCTCCCACCCCCTCTCCACATGCCAACAATTCTCAGACTGAGCATTTAGATTCTCCTTGAAGAATATATGTGGGGTAGTACAGCGATATTCACAAGGTAATACAGTTTCCCCCCCTTTTCTTTTGAGGAATGAAGGAGCAGCTGGCTTGCACAATGGTGTCATTCATTCTACACTTGCATGGCTTGCAATGTTTGTTCCAAGCGCTGATTCATAGACGTCAGCATTGTTACAGATCAAAGAACTTTGCTGGGAAGAGAAAATATTTAATTTCTCACTTTCCTACAAATTAATCTGAAAAACCCTTGGCTAATTATTACTCTTCTCCTTTGACTTCGTCATTCACAGGAATAGCTGGAGATGATAATTAGCAGAGATGAATTAAAGTAATAGGAAAGGCTGACTTCTGCAACAGCTGCTGGGATTTAAAATGGGCACAGTTCTCATTCCGAGACGAAGGTAGTGTGGTCAAGGAGTTACACTCTTCTTTGTCAAAACAAATAGATTAAAACAGATGTTTAGCTAAAGAATTTACATACAGGTGCCACATAATATCCATTCTGCATTTGCAAGAACTCGATTGTTTTGTGGGGTAGCATCTGCACTTTGGAACTCCCTGTGTCTTGAGATCAAGAAGGCATCCCCACCACACTCCTTTCCTGGCCTGCTAGGAACATTCTTGTTTAGACAAGCCTACCCAGGACTCAGCTACACAGCTGCAAATAAAACATTTTCAGTCTGTTTTAAGTGCAATATACAATGTGACACTAGATGGTGATGGTGAGCCTTATGGAAAATTCAATGCCTTTTTAAAAAGGCTTTTTTAAAAAACATTTTCAGAACGGTTTTTATATGTGTGTAGATTCCACCCCAAATGCTTAGAAAGTATGTTTATTTATGTTATTTAACTTTCGTATGTTTTAAAGTAGGAAGGTCAATTTCTTGATTTTCTTGTTTTATCTTTTTGTAAACCACTCTGAGAGGTGTTTGTAAAAGAGAGAGAGCACGCAACGCATAAATTTAATAAAATAAATAAATATACTAACCACCGTGGTGAATAATTGGTGAAAACTAAGGTGAGATATGAATGGTTGAGGAACTTTATGGATACTACTGCTGAAATTCCAAACACTTACTGATCAGGTCGATTGAAAAATGGCCCTCCTTTCCACAGACATTTCACCCATATTGTGAATGGCTTTATCTCTAACTTGGGAGAAAGCTCAATTTCTTCTGAGTTAAACTTTTGCCCCACTGGCGTTCTTGGGAGTGCAATGGGATAGGATTCCTTCCTCTACCCTCGCTGGAAAGGAGGGACATGTTTGGAAGGTTCAGCCAGACTTCCTGCTTCAATGGCAGCAGTGGAACAGAGTCTAACACATTGCACAAGTCTTGGGAAATTTAGTGTCCCACCTTACTACTGACACCTGGGATACAAGACTTCATTTATTTATTTTTTCAGACCAGATTTTAAACCAAGCACACAAAGAGCTGCTGGAGCCATAATGCTCACCTCAGCCTTGAAATTCAGCAGCATTATTAGTAAAAGCAAAAGCTGCTCAGATTAATGTTAGAAGTGACAGTGTGAAAAATCTCCGGGAGTATTCAAAATTTTATGTAGACAGTGTGCACTTTCAGCACTGTCATCCTAGATGCCTGTGTTTCTGACTGAGTCTGCAAACCCAAGCGGATCTTATTAAAGAATGTTACTGTTGAGCATATTTGCCGAAAACATATTAAATGCAGATTTTTCAAGCGATTTGAGTGCCATTTGCTAGGTTTGCTGTGACTTCCTAGGAAAGAGTTCCTTGGATTTGGAGAAAAGCTTATCAAAAGCATCAGCTAACTGTGCTGTAGCAGAGAAAAGGCAAAATTAGATGTTAGGAAATGTTTGGAAAGAGGTAGCAAATAAAACTGCAAGCATCATAAAGCCATTATATAAAGCCATTGTGTGGCCACAGATGGGATGCTATTCGCAGCTATTTTTTAAAAAAAGGAATCTGAAAGAGCTGGAAAGGAGAAACTAATAGCTTAGTCCCATGTGGAGTTAGATGAGCCTAATTCTACATTGTTGAATGATCAAGGGAAATGAAGCACCTTCCTGATGGGGAAAAGATAAAGCATTTGGGAATTTTTTGTTTAGAAACAAGAAAAGTAGTGGGACATGATAGCAGTTTATAAAATTATGAACAGTGTGAAAAGAGCCAAAAGAACATTTTCTCCCTCTCATATAATTTTCCTGCTCAATGAAGTTGGCAATAGCTTCAGGAGAGACAAAAGGAGGTGATACTTTACAAAACTTATAATTTAGCTTTGGAACTCACAGGTACAAGAGATGATGGCCACTAAACTGGGTGGCTTTTATAAAGGATTAGATAAACTTACGGAAGAGAAGGCTCTCTCATGTTAGTTTTAAAAAACTGCCCGTGATTTTGGGACAGTAGGCTGAGAAAAACACAACAGGGGAAGACACTTCTGCCCTGCTTGTGAGCTTCCTATGGAAACAAAAATGGCAGCTGGATTGCTATTGTTGCAGAGATGTGGACTAGATGGATCTTTGACTTGACTTCCATGCATCACACTTCCTAGTTTGTTCAACATCCTCTTAGCAAAACTCTTAAAAAGGTTAAGAGAAGTTCCAACTAAGTAGCCAAGGACATGATCCTCAGTGTGTTTGTTAGAGCAGCAACTGCCTTGTTAACCAAATTAACTGCCCACACTATGGACGAAGATCAATAATCAGTTCTTCTGTTTCCTATTAAGAGTCCTCTGTAAAAGCAGCTTTCTTGCTGCAAGGTCTTCGGTGTAACAAACAGGGCTTGAACTACAGAAAGAATGGAGTCCTTTTAAAACTTCTTGGCAGGGACAGGCTATTAATTAATTGGATAGTTTGGAGGGAAGGCTAATTACCTAACCTAGAAACAGCACTGAAATAATTGTGCAACTTTTAAGACCAGAATGGGAACTGTCAGTCTTGGTCCCAGGTTAGCTCTTGGTCCAGCAACCATGGGATTGTATATGACGACAGACTAGGAAAAGCAGTTACAGTACATGGGTATTTCTACCACTAACATTCAATTAATAAAAGAAAGAAATACTTCTTCCACTGCAAGTATATTGGAGGGGGTAAAGTTTTCTGGTGGATAAAAAGGCACTGAAAATGATGTAAAATTAAACACCAAAAGCCTTTTCAAGTATGGAAATACAATTATAGGAAAAGCTTTTCGTGTTGACAGTCTGTTGACCAGATATCTTATTACTTAGCATACAGTTTTTGTTTGACTTTTGGACACTATACGTAAGCACAACAGCTTGTAACATTATGCATGTTGGGGAGGAAATGTTGTACCCCCGGACAAACCTTTTATGAAGTAAAAAAGTTCATTTGGATTACCTTGGACTGAAATAGTTGGGAAAGTACAAACTGGAACTAGTTTATTTTTGAGCAGGATGAGCTTGCAATAGAATTAGTTCCTTTTTAAACTGAACTTTCCAGACACTGAGTAGAGCTTCTGTGATTTGTTCTGATACCTCTGGCATAAGAACATAAGTATTTTCTGTGGGACCAAGCTGCGCTTGTCATACAGTAAAATTGTTCCATTTGAGACCGCAGGTGGGATATACATGTTTAAATATTCCCCCAATACCACCAAAAAGAAAAGAATGATTGGAGCCTACCATACCTGATGGAACATGATCACAACCTAGCAGCTTGTTCTCACCATGGTCAACCAGATGTCTATGAGAAGACCACAAGCAGGACAGAACGCTATTTAGTGGCATACTGCTCTGATATTGAAGGTATGCAGGCAGCATGACTATTAACCATGAATAGCCTTGTCATCCATGAATGTGTCTAAACCCCCTTAGAGCCACACAAGCTAGTGCCCAGGGGTGTCTTACCCATAGAGGCTAGTGGCGCAGGGTGCCAGGACACTAAGTTCTGGAGGGAAGAGGTGGAGGCTGGATGTGGTGCCTCCCGGCATCTGCTCGCCGCCCTCGCCTGCTGTGGCCACCACGGCATGAAGCGGCCAACTGAGCTGGGAGCTGCCGCGTCCAGCCTCTGCCTCTTCCCCACTGGAGGAGCTGCTCTCCAGCTGCTGCCCGCCTCCTCCAGCCCCACAAAGGAAAGCTGGGCGTGTCACTGGCAGCGCCGTCCTCCCTAAAAAAGGTTGGGAAGTCTGGGAAGGGGGGGCACCGGAGGGATCTTCACACCACAATGCCGGATATGCTTAAGACGGCCCTGCTAGTACCCACCAGTAACTCTTGTGATAGCAAATTCCATAGTTTAACTATGTGCTGTGTGAAGTATTCCCTTTTGTCCTGAATTTTTGCCCCTGGTTCAGTCTTACTATTTTGTCCACACCATTGAAAAGAGGTTTTTTCAGAGTTACTTTGCTATAGTTGCTCTCTGCACTTGGTGATAATTGATAATTTATTTACCATTTCAATACAGACCAAGAAAAAAAATAGAAAAAGTTTAATTTGCACCAAAGGTCATCATTGTGAATCTTTTATTTATCAAAAAATAAATAAAAATTACAGAGTGAAGCACAAGTGTCAGGTGATACCAAACCTGGCATTATTATTGTACCCTTTGCTTACTGGATATCCTGAGCACTCAGGAAAAATGGATTGCTTATAAGGCTGAATGAAAATTGTGTCCCAAAATTCTCCATGATATATGTAGGGAGTGAAATTGGGAAAGGTCATTTTGTCAAGGGTTGTGTGTGAAATTCTCTGACACTTTATCTTCAGACATTCCTTTCTTATAAATTTTGGGTCACTGGGTGTTGAATGAACTCTGTTCGTTCATATATTAATGAGGGAAGGAAGCAGCGGGCTAAGAGAACCAGAGTGGAAGGTATAGGAGCTAATGCCATAATTTCCCTCCAACAAAAGTAAAATAATATTAAACAATATTAAAACTGGATCCAGTATTAAAACTGGATACCCTTATGGCAGCCATTTTATGACTGCCACTGACTATATTGGTCAGGCATAGGTAAACTCCAGCCCTCCAGATGTTTGGGACTACAGTTCCTCTCATCCCTGACCACTGGTCCTGTTAGCTAGGGATGATGGGAATTGTAGTCCCAAACATCTGGAGGGCTGGAGTTTGCCTATGCCTGATATTGGTCAATACTGGCCCAAAAAAGTTAGTGACCTCAGTCAGAAAGGGAAACCATAATAATTCAAACTTGCCCCATTTTTTATTCCTTTCATTCTCTTATTCTGACTAGGTTTGTTAGTTTAAACCATTATGGTAACATGCCATATCTATCCCTTGTGTTTGCAAATACATCCTTGTGGCAAATTTGTGTTGGAATATAGGGTTGTACTAGATGATCCTTGGGGTACCTTCCAAATA